GAGTAGCCGGGCCACGAGAGAACGACCGGAAACAAGCTCAAAACAAGTCCTGCCACGCAGATGCCCTGGGAGGAATCAAGCCCCATACAGAACCCAATTGCATTCTGAAGGTTCAAGGCCTCCAGGAGCAAAACATCATAAAACCCTCTTAAATCCTGTAGTATATGATCAATTGAAGAGCAGTTAATTAATGAAAGTGATCGTCTGGGAAATGGACTTCAGCCATGAAAGAGTTTAATTGTCCTAAGCTGGAGCTCAGATCTGTGCTTTTTCTGGGAAACTCAGGCTCCACCAGGAGTTGTTCCCCACCTTGAGCAGAAGTTGTCCAGAGTTTTCAAAATCCAGCATAGCCACAAAGGAGAAAAAGATTTTGGGAGTCAGCAAGGAACAGTACACATTAAAGTTTTCTCTGTACCAGAAAGTAAAACAAAAGAAGCCCACCCAATAAATGTGGATTGTTTAAATGACTGGGCTGGTGACCATGTGAAGAATGCCTGTTTTCGACTCCTCGCTGGGTGATGCCCCATAGGTAGCTTGGAATCACACAAAACAGAAATATTTACACCATGGGAATAGGCAGAAGCTATCAAGCAGGTTTCTGCTTCACACAGAGCTGATCACTCACCGTCTACCACCCCATCACCGGATGGGAGAGACGAAGTCCTGCTGGAAACAGTTCCCTGTAGTTCTTCCACTAAAAATAGCCCTTAACACCTTTTACTGTTGCTTTCCTCTTTTAATTACTAATGCACAGTGGCGCTCTTCAATTATCTTTTATTACACATCCTCAGCAATTCAGTCTTTGCGGACTCTCCTGGCAAATTCGCGATCATTGAAAGCATCATTTCTACAGGGAAATACTTTCAAGTTGTAAGTTACTGACTTTAAAATCAACTTTGGAAAAGAACTTATATGTAATTTGGGGATTTTCAATTCTGGGTCCTCAGAGAAGTTACAGAACTAAAGAATCATATCAGTTTTTTAATTATAGGTTATGAAATATATCCTAAGTGAAAAGGCAAAAGGAATAGAATAAACTTGGAGAAGAAAATGACGAGGATTAATTTAATTATAGGCACCAGTGTCAGATATTTTATTTGGGCTTACTGGAGGGTGTTTATTGACTTGTTTGGTTTTAGAGGCATTTTTTGTTTGTTGGTTTGGTTTGGGTTGGTTTGGTTTAAGTTAAGGTTTTTTTAGTCAAGATCTCACTATGTAGTTCAGGTTGGTTTGAACTTGTGCTCCTCTTGTGTCCACCTCCCTAGTGCTAGGATTTCAGGTGGTGTTGGCTTTGTGTTCCTGCTCTTGTTGTTTGGTTTGGTTGGGTTTGGTTTGGTTTGCTTTTTGTTTTTTTCCACCATAAGCCTTGTGAATACGGTTAGGTAAGGAGATAAATATCTGTATTATTCTGACATCAATAATTGGTGCATTTTGTTTTGAACATTTACAAGTTTCTTTTCCTCCATTAGGAGTAATTTACATATGATCTGTGTCGACAGCTGAGAAATACTTTTAAAAGTTAAAAGTATTTCAGCATGCACTGAAGTTACCTTCTCCTTTACCATCCTAAGTCTAAAGGCAGGATAGTGCATATCAAGGTTTTGAGGTATAATTCAACAAACATCTTTCATAATACATTCTAGAGTACCTTATCCAAAGTTTATCTTTATTCTACCAAGAAAGTGAACCTTATAAAACTTGGACTGTCTCCTACTAATATAAGCACCTTAAGCCACGCATTTTAAAGCAGTACTTTTTATAACTTAATGAGAGAACAAACAGTGTTATTTGGACTTATCAAATTAGTGTTTCTTTAGTTATTCATTCAGAAAAGATGGAGATATTATGCCCTATAAGATAACGCCGTGCTCTGATTTGGTATTTCCTTAAAATGATTTGAAACAATGAAATGTCAGCTGTAAATCTGCCACTCATGTGATTCATGTCACTCCCAGGCCTTAGCTTCACAGCTGGTTTTATGATATGGCTTTCAGAATAGCAGTTAAGCATGGTATTTTCCTTCCTCCAAAACTGAAATAAAAATGGTAACTCTAAAATATACCAAAAGTATTCTCCCAGGCATATTTTTTGGATTGTTTATCTGAAATCTTGAGGTTTCTAAAATTCCCTTCACGCTCCACCTTGGAATGGTTGTTTCCAGTTTAGCAGAGGAATGCATGAAATCTCACCTAGCAGATCCCTCATCTCCCATCCATCTCACTGTCCACTGAAAGGATGTTCAGTGCTTGTGTGTGAATCAGCCAGGGCCTATTAAATGTACCAAATGTCACAGCCCTCTGAGTTCAACTGGGGACCCAGCCTAAGGACCAACACTTCCACAGATTCCCACACAGGTGGTGTGAGAAACTCTAGGAACTCAGTTCTGTGTCCTAACCACCTCTAGTTCTGGATCTGGGAAGAAGAGACCTGGAAAGAGCTCTGCCCATGAAAGCTCAGCTTCTCCAAGGGGATGGCTGCACCTGCCCCTCAGGTGCCCCAAGGTTTGGTAGCTTCTGCTGCCAAGCCCTTTCATCCAGTCTTGAATTCCAGTGCCAGAGGTCCTCCTTTACTCCTGTACCACTTCCCTGTCGGATGTCCCTAGTGGTTTGAATTTCATGGTCTCCCTTCCTCATTCCATCTGAGCCTCATGTGGACCTCTTCTCCCACACAAACCTGACCTGTCCTCAGACAATGTCCACACTCTCCATTAGGGACTGTCCTTGGCAAAGTGAACCCCATGAGGAGTCTTCCAGGTGTTTCCCAGCCTTCCTGCTATTAGATGTGATGCTTCTGTCCTAATTCTGTCCCTCTGGCTCAGGGACCCTGCACAGGCCAGGAATAACCTGTCTCACTCACCATGCCCCAACCCAGCCTGAAATGAGTGGGAGCCTCAGGAGTCTGGAGGGAAACACTAATATAAAAGTGGCATTAGGTTTGGCAGGTGACAGCGTGGCACAGCCTGCAGGTGCTCTGTACCTGACCTCTTTGCATGTGGCTGCCTTGCCTGAAAGCTCACAGATGTCCCCACTCACTTCTTCTCATGGCTACCATCTCAATCCATTGGGTCCCAACCTCAGTACCCTTCCAACAATAAGGCTTCCTGAACCCCTGGACGTGGAGCTGGAACCCCACCATGATCCAGGGACTCTGTAGTCCCTAACCTCTGAGAATGCACACTATGTTCCAACTACCTTTCTACATCATCTTCCTGACCAAGAACTCATTAAAACCAAGGCTCTTAACCTCAATGTCCAGAATGGAGTTCTGCACACAACCAGTGCTCAACAGATATTTGCTAAAGGAATGAAATGCTATCTCAAGCTTCCCATTCCTGCAGTGTAAGCAGTAAGCCCAGATACCTACCATACTGTCTTGGGGTAGGAGGTAACACATGTCCTCCAGCACCAGGAGGCAGAAGACCTCACCACAGGGACCATGTTTGCTCACCCCCACAGTCAGTATGCCATGTGGCAGCAAGCATTTATTCTCTCCTATGTGTCTCCAGGAGAATACCCTTGGAATTTTGAGTACAACCATTCTTAATTGTGTACCACTATCAGCCACATTGCAGGACACTCCATTGTCCTTTTCTCTGCTCACTAGGTGCCATCAGTATCCCACCAGTCACACTGACAACCACCTAGACACACACAAGTCCTTGGAGTAAAGGGCCAGAAGGCTTAGAATCAACTGAAGTCTTCATCCCAACTCAGTGAGAAGTAACACGTTCAGTAGAAGAGCCATGTGGATTGCAGTTCACATGTACATGGCAGCAGGAGACAGGGGCTCAGGAATTTATCACTTACCCTCAATAGACAATGGCACAGGCCCTTTGGAATAGCAGTTAACTAAGCCTTTATTGACCATGTGTGTATTTCAGACACAAGACTCGGTGTTATACATGGTTTGTTTAATCCTCTCAGTCTCCAAGGAGGCCTCAGTCTGCTGAGCAGGAAAATAGGAGTGAGAGTTTTGAGCCACCTACTCCAGTTAACACAGGTGGTCTTTGAGAGGGCCAAGAGTCCCTTCCTGAGCACCTGATCCACAGCTCTAAGTTGATTCATCGATGAAAGCAAATGTTAGAATTCCCAGTGTTGTGAGAATAATGGGATCTTTGAGCAATACAGTTGGAGAAGTGCTTTTGGATAGGCATATATAGAGATCCATGAAACAAGGGCAGTACAGGGCTGAGACACAGTTAGCGAGATTTTCACAGTGAGTCTGGGGTGATTTCAGAACAACCGCTAAGCCACAGAGAACCTAGCTTGTCTGCCAGAGAGGGATTAAAAACCATCAGACAAAAGGGATATAGAAAGAGTTAGTGAATTTTCTCATAGTTTCTCAATAATAATAATAATAATAATAATAATAATGAGTTATTTAGTGATTGCTAATTACTATCCACTTTGTGCATGATATACTAAATCCTGTTGATTAATAATGTAACTTTCCTAAAGGTCACACAACTCCTTAACCCCAAGGGCTCAAAATGAACTCGGTTCTCTCTAATCTCGTGAAACTCTGCACACAAAGCATTCCAGATCTTAGAGTTTGTCATGGACTTTTCTATGCAAATGTCCGAATCAAATCTAATCTCAAACAGGATGCCTCAGTGTGCTCCCTAAATTGGGGCTTTATGCTATTGTCCAACCTTTATTTTCAACATCATCCCTAACCTATTAAAATAGGTTAATTTAACCTAAAAATTAGCTATCTGGTCTAAGTAGCATACTTGGGATTTCTTCTGTTATGGTTTAGGTTTTCCATTTTTATTACTATTTTTTAATTCCACACATATTCACACTCTGTAATACACTATCTCCAAATTTTTTTATTTTCATTGCTGATGAATAGTATTCACTAGCATAGACATTTACCTGGCTTGATGGACCCTCTTCCTGATGCTAATCTGCTGGCATAAACTGCTCAGAAGGCTTTGATGAAATCAACACTGGCCTCAGATCTCTCCACAGTTTTCAATGTTCTTTCCTTTCCAACAGATGTGGGTGCGTTTTTTGAAGAGGGGATGTGGCTGCGTTATAACTTCCAGGCACCCACAGTCAATGCCAAAGACGTGAGCAGCAGAGCAGAGAACTCTCTGGATCAGCAGCACTCAGCCCCAGACCTGTCCCAGGAGCAAATCCACTTCAGTTTCAGCACCACCAAGGCGCCCTGCATCCTGCTCTATGTCAGTTCTCTCACCACAGACTTCCTGGCTGTGCTCGTCAAATCCTCCGGTAAGGACAAGCATGCATCATTCTCCACCATTTTAACAGTGGGAAGACTGCTCTAGTAAGAGTCTAGAATGTTTTTGGCTTGTTCTTTATTCCCCATGGGACATTGAATAAGTCATCTACCTTCTTTGAACCTCATTTTTCTGCACAAAGTCAGGAAAACAATACATAGAGTTCTTTAGAGCAATGTGTTACAATCATAATGTTGTGAGGCATGCTAGGTCTTTTTCAAGAATTTTATTGCATAAATATGAGATGGTTTCATGGGTAGAGTGATTCTGTTTTATTCCTGTCAAATACATAGCTTCACTACTGTGTTGAACACAGGGTGAGCTGCAATGTAGCAAAGTTAATTTTATATAAATTAATGAGTTATTCTAATTTATTATAATATCACTAGGTTGTGGATGACATCCTAAACAAAGAAACGAGCAGGACACCCAACAGTAACAGTAGGAAGAATGATTTATTTGAAAAACACAATATTCACTCCCCAAGTGAGAGTGGGCCAGCAAGAAGAGTTCCATGTTTTAAGCCTTAGGTTTTGAGGTGAGATTGGGGGTTTGGGCTCAGCAATCAGAAGTTTGACTCAACCCTTTCACCAGATGGTGGAGTTTTGACTATGGCCTTTAGAGGAGCTTTTGTGGAGTACAAAGCCCATAGGGAATCAAATCTGCGTAGTAAATGACCTGATTATTAGGGTTGGATCAGCCAAGGGTTTTTAGGAAACCAATGGGCCCAGCCCCCAGACCTCCTGTGTGTAAGCTAAGTAACCTGGTTACCTTTTCCCATTGTATTTAGACCTAGACATCCTGGTCCTGAGCTAATGTTAACTCACAAGGTGGATCTAGTCCCAGAAAATAGACTCCACGGTGGGCCCTCCCTCTTTACCAGCTATTTCCTTGGCTGAGATCTAGCCCAGAAACCAGGCTCCAAAGTGGAGCCCTTCTTTCCCCCAGCCCTTTCCTCAGCTACCTCCTGCCGCAACATTCCTCCTAAATGCATGAACTTTAAACAAAACAGAAAAATCAAAGATGTCTTCATCCGTAAGCCATTCACAGTTTTATGTTCACAAAAGACATCCCTGGAATGAGGGTTGCTGCAGGCAGGCGTACTTCACTTGTAACTGCCAGAGCCATTTTGATCATTTGTTTGTTGTGCTCTGACCAGAGAGGAACTTGGTGGGAAAATAGAGGTGGACTTTGGTCCTTCAACAAGACCTGTGAGACGATTCCAGCCAGTCCTGGAGCGTAAAAACCAACTACTCACTGAGGAATCTACTTGAGCTCACACATGGTTAAAGTTTTAAGATCACTTTTTAGAATGAAAATATTTTACATGGATGAGAAAAGAAACCTCTCTAACTTACTTCCCATACAAGTTTTGCAAGCATCTCCCTCCTACCCTTCCTCTCCTTGTACCCTTCAATGAATAACCTTGTTGTAGCACTGTATATATCTAGAATTTTTTCCTTTGGAATGAAAAATATTATTAACAAAATTCATTAAAATTTTTTTAAATATGAATTTTTTAAACCCTTCTGTTGATTAAAAGGATGGGAGAAAATTAATATTCTCTAGGATATTTTTCCTTTCAGAATCTGTTCTGAAAGAAATAAGACGTGAAGTTGCCATAGAAGATTTCTGTCATATCTTTGTTTGTGAAAATAACAGTTGCAAAAGACCCTGGAATTTCAACTTTAATAAAATGGTTTTTTAACTTAGCTATGTTTCTAATGGGATAGTACCTATCCATTCAGAATATTTATGAAGACGAATGACAATTTTTATGTAATATAATACTAAACAAAAACAAGTCGAATCAACATCAGTTTAACCCTGTAAAGCACACATAAATGTAGGGGAAAGCACCAGTATGAGCAGGACATATCTGGTTGGATTATGAGTGATTTGTTTCTCCTCAGTGATGTTCTTCTGTGCATTGTCAGGTGTTCATATTGATCAAATGTCACTTTTCTAATCAGAAAAAAAAACCTGAGTAAAATCAGAAAACATGCAGAAAAGAAAAATATACAACCCTTGCTCTTCAGGAGTTCACCAATATATTTGTCCTGAATCGGTCAATAGATTTGAATCTATACATGTTCTCCACCCATGTGTGTCAGCCTCGCAGTAGACACGTGGCCTGTGGCTTCTCCTCACATCACTCCCCTGTGAGAGAGGCTGTCAAGCATTTGACTCATCTGTACCTTTAAGTACTGTGTTACCTGGTCCTAAATCACTGCCACACTGAATTGGAGTCCTAGCTGTATTTAATAATTCACATTGTTGAAGTCCACACCCACCACTGCACGCACATGTTCTTGGGACTGGGGACATTCATGGAGTGCAGGGGCTTTGATTGATAGTTTCCAGAGTAGGCCACCATCCCATGAAACTTTTGTGTCATGAGCCAAGTTCTATCCCAAGTATTCCACATGAGTTGATTCCTACAAAGGAATCAACTCTGGAAGGTAGCACCTGTTCTTATACTTTTCCTCGGAAGAGTTAAATAATTTGCATGTTGTCAAGATCCTGGTGAAATTTGGGCCTTCTCATTCTCTGAATACTGCCTTTTTATTAATTAAAATTTAAAGTTAGAAATAAATTTGATAAATTCATTCCAGGGAAAAATAAACAAATTTAAAGGCTTTAACTAGGTATCCTGGTGTCCTACAAGTCCTCACATAAGGAAAACTCAGTCACTGTATTCCAGAGCAGCTACCCAGAGTGTCCACGTTCTAAAAGCCACCTTCACCTCTGCCTTGAAGCCACTTGAGCCCCATTCATAACACGCTGTGACCACTCAAGCAAACAGGTCTGGTGTGTTCAGTGGCCATCATACCCATCTGCCCCCACCACTACCCTCCAAATCAAACACTTTCTAACTCAGTGTTGCCCAATATCATTCAGATCGTGGTGCCACAGAAAATATTCATCACAGTTGAGTGGCACAAGAGTTAATGGATGCGGTGGTGTTTGGAGGCACCCTTTCCTCCAGCCACCTTGCCTCTCACAGATCTGCTAGACTGTGGGAACCTTTCCCTGGACACACCACTGCCCACTGAGAAGCCCTGCTCCAGTCCATCTCTTTGCTTGTAGCTGTCTGAGCTTCATCCCCCACCCTAGAACAGAGCTGTCCTCCTTATGGGTAGTGTTTAGCAGAAACACCCAGTCATGCCTCTAGAAAAGGTGGCCCACGGTAAAGCCAGGTGAAGTCCCTGCTCTCACAAGCTTCCAGTCATGACCCACCAGCCTGGTGGCAGAAAAGAGCCTGGAAGTCTGGATTTCTCTACCTTTTTGTCGCTTGCTCCAGACAGTCAGGTAGGAGCTCCATGCCTAACGTTCCTGGTTTATACAATCATGTCTCCTTCATTAAATTATTGTGAAAATCAAATAAATCTGAAGTGCTACCTAGGATGTACATGTAATGACTATGGTTATGAGTTAGCGGTTATTGTTACCAGAGTCAATTGATTCAATCTATGTTTTTCCATCTAGTCAACATCCTCAACTTTTCATTTGCAAGAAATCCATGCTTCCTGGGCACATCCTGCCCATAATGCTCCCAGGCCCACATATCTTTGCCTCCCTCTGCCTTTCATTCCAAGCCAGACCAAGTCTCACCTCCCGTTAGTGATTTCTCCTGCCTTTATGCTCCAGGCATGCTTCTTTTCAGTGTCACTTGTTTGGTACTCAGTGTCCTGTATTGTTATCTGTCTCTGTTATAAACATGCCCTGTCTTCCCTGCGAGATGAAAAGCTCCCAGCTACATCTCCTGCCTGCAGTAGGCACCCTGTAAGTGTCTGCTGATGGTAATGATGATGACCAGGGAAGAATAAATCTGTTAAGCATATTATTTGCTGCAGCCAATAAAAAAGAAGTCCCATATACCAGCTCTAATTCACTTGGGAGATGAACACGAGATAGAAGTGAAGAATCTCCCCATACGAATAATATTTTACATTAATGGGTAAATATTAACATTCTCCTTACTATCATTCAAGGGTCCTCCTCTGCTGATGTGAAAGGAATAAATACATCACTTGAATTTTATTATTCAAGAATATTGCCATTATTGTTCATAGATATTCACTTTATATAAATTTAAAGTTTTAGCTCATCTTTTTTTCTCAAAGCAAACAATTTCTATTATCATTAAGTGAAGCACTTAGAAGAATTTTAAATCAAGATTACAAAACCAGCAGAGTCAGGAAAGAGAAAAGTAATGGACACAATGCTGATTTTAATAGAGCTGGAGAACGTAAAGGAGCCACTGGCAGAGAGACAAACGGGGAAGGGAGAGTCAGATTTTGCATAAGTCCCACCTCATCAGACCTCCAGCACCCAGCTCGGAGCCTTCTTCTGTGTCTCTCTGGGCCTGGATTCATGCACAGCGCTCAGCCGGTGCTTGGGGATTGAGGACGGCTCTGTGAAAGGCGTGAAGGCTGACCCGCTGCAGCTCTAAATTTAAGAAAACTGACTGCTTTTAAATAATGTCCGAGCAACAGAAGTAGAAAGTTAAGAGAGGCAACTTGCTTATGATATGTGTGGCCGAACATTTGCCTAATCGTCTTCTTCACTCACAAACAAAGATTATTTTCAGTGCAATGGGAGTAAAAGGAAAAGAATCAGAAAATGCTGATGGACAGGGAGACAAGCAGCTCAGGAAGAGGAAGCCGCATTTTCCAAGGCCCTGAGGTAGGAGGAGACTGGAATTTTCTAGAAATCAGAGAAGTCCAAGCTCTCTCGGTTATAAAAAGGGAGAGGAGAGAAGCATGATTTGAGAATAAAGTAGCAGGCAAGGAAGGCATCATGAGCCGTGTTAAGAACAGATGTCGTCACCCTGGGCACAGTCGGGAGGCTTTGAAAGATTTTAATGAACGAGTGAAATACTCAACGCTGCATTTTTAAAAGATCCCTCTGTCTGCATTGCAACAAGGACAGTTGGAAGGAAGAAGGCAGAGAAGCAGGACCATTCATGAATTCATTCAACAAATAGTCATTAAGCACCTGCTACAATTACTATTCCTGCCACTGGGGTATGCAGTCACAAGAAACAAAAACAAAAATTCTTGCTCTCATGAAGCTTACTGTTAAACAAGAGAAGGTGATCAGACAAATAGACTAAATGCAATTTATAGTATGGTGTGTGGTGAGAACTTTTGTGGAAAATACAAGACGGAAAAGAGAAGGCTTGGCCAAGGAAAGGGAATGGGTAATGTCCATTTTTTGAGGAAGTCACTGAAAAGATAACATGAGAGCAGATGTCTGAAGGTGTTGAAAGTATTCATGCAGATAACTGGGGCATGAGCATACAAGAAACAAGAACGAGCAAGTGCAAAGATCCTGAGGCAGGGATTTGCTGGGGTCCTAGGGAAACAGTAGGGGCCAATGTGGACTGGTGAAGAGTTAGCCAAAGAGGTGAGAAGTAAGAAATTAGAACAGAGATGACAGAGGAGGCTCAGACAGGGCACTGAGAGGCATTAGGAAAACTTTGCTTTTTACTTAGCGTGAGATAGAAAGCCATGAGAGGATTCTGAGCAGCAGGCCCCTCTGACCACCATGTGGAAAATGTTTGTGAGGAGAAGGAGCCTAATCAGGGTACAGAGAAAGCTGGAGTCAGAGCGGAAGCAAAGAGGTCAGTGTGGAGGCTAAAGCAATAATCCAGGCAAAAGACAGGGGTGGCTTGGTCCGGGGCTCAGCTTGGAAGTACGTAAAGTGGCGAATGCAGTGTTTATTTGGAAGACCCAGATGAGAAATCGTAAATGTGATACAGGAAAGGGGGAGAGGATAATCAAGGTTTTGGGCAAGAGCAACCAGAAGCATGAAGCAGCCATTTACCAAAATATACAAAATTGTGCTGGAATATTTTTAGGAATAAAAGATAGATGTTAAGTTGCATGTGTTGGTTGAGTTTGATTAAGTCACCAAAGCAAACATATGGAGTGAGCAGTTTGTAAAATGAGTCGGGGGTCCCGGAGAAAAGTTTGTACTGGAGTACGAGACTAGAGTCAAACGCGCTCCTGGATCATGACCTGAGTTTGAATAAGACAACCACAGAGGTGAGCGGAAGACATAAAAGAAGATGGTCAAAGACTGGGTCCTGGGGGCTGAGAGAGTCATGGTTCCAGCAATGATGGGGGAAGATCAAGAGGGAAAATCCAAAGAGTGTGCTGTAGACCAGGTGTGGAGCGGGACGGAGGCTCACTTCTGGGTCAGATGCTCCTGCAGAGGTCCAGGGGACCCAGCTGAATGGGCCCAAAAGGCGCACAGAGCACGTGGCAAATGGGGCAGGCAGCGGACAGAGTGAGCACTCACATCTTCTGTGAAGACAAGGGAGAAGACGGGAATTCAGAGACATCAAGACACAAAAGTCAGCAGTGCTTGGTAGAAACACTATGAGCAAAGAAAGTAAAGATAAAACTCAGAACTAGTAACGGTTTATTGAATTTTGTTCAGAAGGCAAAAATGGAAAGTGCAATTTAGTCTTGATTTTCTCAATGAATGTTTTTCTCAAACTCGGGAAGGTGGTGCTACATTTTAAGTGGCACTTGTAATGCTAAGAGGTGTTCATTTATGCATGCATGTGTGCATGTGTGCAAGTGTGCACGCGTGTGTGTGTGTGTGTGTGTCCACGAAGGGTGTCTGCAGGGGAGGCTGCCAAGATGCTTAGTTATTCCTGGATGGTAGGATTTCAAGTGGACTTTCTTTTCCGTTCCTCTTTTCTTTTTTATTTCTCAGTTGTGGTCATTTTGTTTCAGCCAGTAACTTAAAAATCAGAATTACCCATTTTGTTTTTCTAGAAAGAAAGTGAAAGAAACAGCAAAGAATCCGCTAGGCAGTTTACAATTGGTCAAACTCTTGCTAGATTGCTGGCTCCATTTTTTTTTAAGCTCTGAGATACCAAACACAAGTAACAGCACAAAAATCCCAACTTGAATAAAATATGAGATAAAAACAGAAGGCTTTGAAAAACCATAAATAATAAACAAAGCTATGGCTTCTATGTGGATTAAGTGAAACCTGGATCTAGAATGCCCTATTAATCTTGCTTGTTGATCAGTTGTCATTGTTGGGAAGAAGCAAGGAGAAAACAGAGAAAGTTGAGGAACCAAACTGATTCGCCCTTGAGAGAGAACCAGAGAGCCCAGGACATACATCTTGGCCTTCAGTTTGCATTTTGGTTCGTCTCTAACCCACAATGAAATTCAGTACTTTGTTTTCCAGTCTCACAGAGGCCACACAAAATCCCATGTACTTCTCTTTTGCAAATTTTTAATGTTTATTTTTAATATTGGAAGTTCATGATTCTTTGATATGCCAAATGTCACCGTTGGCTAATACAGCGATCCCATCTCTGCACTCCGCTTTTATTTCTTATTTCATGTAGCCCTGTGTGAGGCCCCAGAGGGTCTCTCCAGCCGACACCACCAGTGTTCTCATTCTCCATCTCCAGGCAAGGTTCCAGCTTGGGACATTTACACCATTTGCTGTTTCTACTCTGCGATCACGGAGCTTGAGGCTCACGGTTGGCAGATTGTGCATACACGAGAGCCTAAGGCTGTCGCTGTTAACCCTGGAGGATCCATGCACCCCAACCAAGGAAAGGAGCAGAGTTTAAGGAATGCCAAGCTGCAGGCGTGGAGGAAACGGGGCAAAGGAATCACTGGATCTCTTTGCTTTTCTCATGTAGGAAACTTACAGATTCGGTACAACCTGGGAGGCACTAGAGAGCCGTACAACATCGATGTAGACCACAGGAACATGGCCAACGGGCAGCCCCACAGCGTCAACATCACCCGTCATGAGAAGGTCATAACTCTCAAGGTATGCATGCGCCCTGGACATGCTATTTATACACACAAGAATAACAGATGCCATAGCCTCTAGGTCCTTTAATGATGGGTCACTGGTTTTCTTGAAGGTGTGGGGACAGGTAGAAGAAAAAATAAATATATTTTATACTACAAGTGCTTATGTTGTGCAGTAAAAAATATACACCAGGTATCATGGAAAAACATAGTGGAAAAACAAAAAGAAAAATACAGAAAATGTTTAAATATTTAAAGTGCATTCTGTAAAGTGCAAAACACTTCCCTCACTTTGAATACAATTTTTGCATAATTCTTGCCACTTTCTGAAACAGCTGTGGAAGCTCTGTTCTATAAGTGTCTTCACTTGTACCGCGCTGGCTGTTCCAGGGTCCTGAATCAACTCAAAGCCTTTACCTTTCATGGACACCTTGACTCGGGAAGAGCCAGGAGTCACACAGTGCCATGTCTGGTGAAAAAACCAAAGAGGACTTCCAGAACTACTTCAGAAAGTGGCGGGAACGATGAGATAAGTGTTCAAAGTCAGAGGGAGTATTTTGAGGGAGATTACTAACAATGTGTCTTTTAACATGATAAATATTTTAGACTTAAATATTCACCGTATATTTTGATCACATCTCACATACAGTCATTGATATTCACCGAGGATTGGTTCTAGGACTATGTGGATACTAAAATCCCAGGATAATCAAATCACTTATAAAATACAGAGTCATATTTGCATATAACCCATACACATCCTTCCAGACACTTTAGATTCTATGCAGATTACTGATATTACTTACTACAATGTGCATGCTAGGTAAATAGCTGTAGGACTATATTGTTTAGGGAATAATGACAAGAAAAAATGTCTGTACATGTATGGTACAGATGCAATTCTATTTCTGAGTATTTTCAATCTGTGGTTGGTTAAATTGGGAAGATTCAGAGACCAGGGATATGGAGGCTGGTGCTAATATTACAGAGAAGGTAATTGATGGTGAGGAAATTGGGAGGAGGGGGTAAAATAAATATTTACTCCGGGTAGTCTTTCTGGCTTTCCTACTTTTAGATAACTCCATCATTTTAGTTTCTATCAGGCTACCTCCTTTCTCCATCACCCCATCCTTCCTGACCACACTCCCAGATGTCTGAGGCTCAACATGCTTCCGAGAGCAGTTTATTTTGGTCCCTCTGACCTACTTCCTCCACAACTCCAGCACCATATAAATAACTGTGTATGTTTTCTCTGCAAAGGCTCTGCCTTAAAAATCCTCTAAACTGTCTTTCCCAGAACCTCAAACTCAGGCTGTCGGGTTTTAGCACACAAAGGGACGATTTTATTATGACACTCAAGTTTTATTTCAGGTTCATTTACTGCCCCCACCCCACTACTGTCTTTTACAATGGAGAAAGCAGCTTGGGGACTCCATGAATAAAACATAGCGTGAGGAAGTCTCCCCGGGAACCAAGCCAGGAGATCAAGGAGGGAGCTGACACTGTTTGCTCTAGAAGCAGTTCCAAATAGATACCTGTCAAGACAAGGAACAGCAGGACAGACACTGCTTTGTCAGTAGAGCACAGTGTCATTTGGCAGGAGCTCTGTGACCCTCCAACCTCATTCAGATGCAACTAGTTGCTAAGGGAAGTCTGCACTGTAAAGAGAAGACAAGAGTCCTGTCTCTTTTGAGGTCCTGTGGATGTCAAATTCATAACATGTCACAGTGTTTACGTGTGGCCATTAGTAATAAATGCTATAAGATACTTAAGCAGAGGTCTTCCCTAGGAAAATGACAGCATGCTGTTTCAGCCTGTATGGCATCTCTCGAACACTGTGTAAACAGGGTTATTTCATAGTGCCCACAGGAGTCCCTGAGCCTAGCACAATGCCTGGCATACCTTGGGTACTGCATTGCACAAATCGAGCCCATCTTTACCCATGGTTCAAGTTGTATTCAGAAAAGCTAAAGAATTCAGGAAACAGATGATTTTATGCCATTTTAGGGACAATGTGTTCATTAGCATTGGATTAGATGTTCTCTTATGTTAAACCATCTGATCTGTTAGTATGTTTAAGGAAAGTGATTTATCTTGCCATTTTGCCATTGCAAAAGATAAAAAATTAGATGCAAATGCTGACCACTGAAGACAAAATAGAAGAGATGCCCATACCCATAGCCACAGACTCTGAGGGGGTTAACGGTCACACTCTGCCACAGCGGATTCAACAGCCACCTGGATGAAGAGACTGGACATGGGAGAGGGGGATAGTTTAGGGCTTTTGAGGGACAGAAAGCCAGAGATCATGTTGTCCAAGAAGCCAGAGAACTGCAGAGAAGCCAGAGGCCTGAGAGGTGAGGGGAAGGCAGGGGGTCTGATTGTTACTCAGGTTTTTGTTCACAAATAACAAAAAGTAAAAGATGAATCCAGAAATCATTTGTTAGGGAAAATATATTTTCAGAAAGAGAAAAAACAGAACTTGGCAAGAGAATACAGAGAACATAAACGATTAAATCTACGTATTAGAGTAACGTTGGCCAATCTCCTGTCTCGCCCGCTTCCCTACCTCGCTCCCTCCCTTCCCTCTGACCCACTCCGTTCTTCCTCCTGTCTGCTTCTCTACCTCTCTGAGGCCTGGGTTAACTGCTCCTTATAACAAGCTCTGTCTTTACATATCTCAGGTTGGTACAGTCCCAGGGTCATGTCTTCCCAAGCTGCCACCAGAAGAAAAGCACCTATTTTCTTGATTTTCTTTTCTTCTTTTTTTAAGACAGGGCCTCACCATGTAGTTCAGGCTAGCCTGCCTTCACTATGTTGCCCAGACTGGCCTCAAATTTGAGGTGGTCCTCCTGCATCAGCCTCCTGAGTGCTATGATTATAGGTGTGTGCCATTTTCACTTTAAAATCTCTAAACCTCAGTGAGAATCTGGCATGGGTTGTGTATTCATGCTTAGGTCATGTACTCATGCAGTTAGGAGGAAGGGAACCAAAACCAACAGTCCATAATCAGATCCTAAAATTCAAGTGGAGAGTTCAGGAAATCTTTGCCAAAGGAGTAGATCATGAGACCCATGAAAGGAGGGGAGATGGAGGGTATGCACCACACTCTGAGTTGGGGAAGACAGACCTGGGAAGCCCTCTGAAAGACAACTTTCCTATTTCTGAGACACAGCAGTTTCAAGGAGATTCATTTTGTGGTTGCCTGATTCCAAAGCAAGAAGATCGTGGTGGAAAGGGGTAGCAGAGTGGTGTCCAGGAAGCAGAGCAGGGGAAGACAGTCAAAGAGGAAGGGACAAGAGTTCAGATATAATACCCAAAGCCGCACCTCTATGACCCCCACCACCACCAGATGCACCCCGGAGCTGCTGTACTGATCTGCTAGGCATTTCTTAATCCAGTGCAGTTACCATAACAGGATGAGCAGCCGCATCCTCGAAATAGCAAGGAACTCTGGGTAGAAACTGAGCCTCCAGGTGCTAGGAAGCTCTGCCTTCCTGTCTTCTACCCATAATGCCATTGCACTGAGGCCCCTGGACATGGCCAAGAAGGAAGCACCCAGTGCCCTGGGAAAGACTTCCTGTGTAGGGACTCCTGGGCCAGGCCAGGGTCTTGCCCACAGTCACTGTCCTAGAGCTGAAGGAGAAAAGGATGAAGGTGGTAGAAGAAGAAAGACAATGCTCCTGCTCATGGGAATGTGGATCCCCACATTTGGGACCCTGATTTCTCTCCCACACGAAAGCTATAATTCTGAAAGTTCCTTCAGGATGCTAAAACACATTCTAATTTTCTTTCTTAAACCAATCTACAGATCCATTTTGAGAACTTCTGTAGCCTTAACCATGGGGGGAAGAGACATAATAAAACACTACTAGTAATTATCTCTCAGTGAGGAGACTATGAATGAGTCTGTTTCCCCTCAGAACTTTCTGTATTTCCCCATTTTCCAGGAGAAGCATGTGTTGCATTTTTATAACTGACCAAAAACATAAAATGTACAGATGTCCTCAGCCTCTTTTAATATCCCTCCAGTTATAATAGCAAAAATACTTAAATAATTTCCAATTAAAATTTACTTATACTCAGTGAACAAAAATAAGGTTAATGCAGAGATGAGTTTGGCAGTGCGATGGAGTTAAGGTGAACTTTATGCATTTATAAATGTTCAAACATCCTATCATTGAGAGGATGTTTATCAGTGTTTATGGTGTTTTTAAAATCGCGTTTACTTTCCTAGCTGGGTGTGGTACACGCTAGCATCAAATTAATTTAAATTCCCTGAGCACATCATCTGAAACTGCTCTGAGCACTTGAGAGAAATTGACCTTGAATTTGCTGCCAAAAAATAAAGTGCTCAGTCTCCGCAAAGATAATGAAGAGTTGGTGCCTGTCTGTACCACACGCCAAAGTGAGTTAGGACCCAGGACAACCCTCCAGTGGCATCATTTAGGAAGCTCACTGTGGCGTCTGGGCTCATAGCTTAAGGCTGAATGCCAGTCCAAATGTAAACAAGCCTCAAGCAGCAGAGAGGACCTCAGCAAATCCTGCATGCGGTGCCCTGGGAAAGACTTCCTGTCTGGGGACATGAGGCCAATTAGCACGAATCCACAGCGGAATGCTGCAGCCAGCCATGACTCTGTCTTGTGTGACTTCTCCTTAATGCTTTCTCTTCTCCCTCTCGCCCTCCATCCTCCCTATTTCTGTCTTTTCTTTCTTCCCAGCTATATTGTACAAGACAGAGAATGCAGAGGATGAAAGCAGGAATGCGTTTTAGTCACTTTCCTCATCACTGAGACACAAAATACCTGACAACATAACGTAAAGCAGGACAAGTTTATTTTAACTTGGTTTCGGAGGTGCCAGTCCATGGTCTGCTGGGTCCAAGGCAGAAACAGTATGGTGGAAGAGTCTGGGCAGATGAAAGCTGCTCGTAGCAGCCAGGAAACAGAGAGAGAGGAAAGCGGCTAAGGAGGGAGATACTTCCTTGTAGGTCATGACCACAGTGACCAGTCCACT